AATTCAAATGAATCCTCAATGCAAACATGTTCTTAATTCAAAGGGATGTCTGATGCGGTCCATGCACATGAAAAGAAAATGAAAGCCTCACAGAAATAAGAGATTGACTTGAGTATGTCTGCAAGGATCCTGCTAAGCTCCATGATAGAGGCAGGATCCTCCATCACAAAAGGCAAATCTATTTTATGAAGAGTTTGGTTGATCCAAGGACTGACAAGTCTAGGTAGGGACAGTGTTGCTAATTTTTTGTGAAGTATACCCCAAGATGATGAAGGAGAGAATGTAGTCCACTTCTCAGAAGACTTACAGATTGGTATGAGCCCCCTTTGGCTGGCCTTACTACTGCTGTCCAGGTTGGATGGGAAGAACTTTTTTCAGGGCCGTAACTAGGAAAAGCACCTTATAAGCCAGTCTATCATCTTTACTAATAACATGTCCAAATTTCTCTGGTGTAGATTCTATAGAGTGTTAAGGACTTGCTAAAGGCTATCAACTTGATAGGATATATACTAACACTTCATATATACAGTTCATGGAAAGTTATAAAAGCCTTAAAGAAAGCTGCAATAACCAAGAAAAAGCTTTGCATAGCAGAGGCAATAATCCCCTGTACAAACCTGTAGCACTGCATTTGCTTAACACTGCCTGCAGAAATCAGAGAGGAGGGAACAGAGAGACTTCAGAAGGATTTGCCTGATCTGGATAGATGTTGGGCTAACAGACACATGCTGGCTTGGTATTCAGATCTGGGAGTAACATCCAGAAGTCATGGGTGTTGCTGTGGGTTCTGAACCTCCAGCCTTTTTGGCATGGACACATTGGAAGTACCATAGATAAGAAAGGTAACATAGCTAAGATAGTCAGTTGCTTTGTTTCCTTATATCCTTTTATTTCTGGCTTTGTACCTCGAAGTCTGTCCTGCATTGTTGAATAAAAACTTTGTCCTTCACCTCAACTGGTATTAGTGGTAAGAGTGGAGAAAATTGACTGAGATGGGGGACCAAATCTTTTCAGTTGTGGCATAATCAAATAAAGCAGGCAATGTGAGCAGCCGGAGAAACATACAGATCAAAGCATATTTAGGGGACCGGCACCTAGAGAGTTATTCTTATTGTCAGAATCCCTACCTTATCTCCCAATTTTTTTCCTTAAAAGCAGAAGACAGAATGACAGGCACAGCTCTCAGGCAACCATAAGATATTATAATGGCTCCTTGGAGGACACTTCGTGTCAGTATTGCTCTGACTCTCCTGAAAGGCTAGTTTTGCTCTGGTACTGCCCAGATTAAGGAATGGAAAAACAACTCTATGAAAGCCAGCTGTTCCCCTCAAAATCCCAGGTGCAGCAAGTCCCATTCTGCCTTTGATCTGTTTCTCTGTTTGGTAGTATTTTCTCCAATGTACCTCAGGGCTGCAATCGCTGGGCGTTCTAAAGAGGAAATCAATGGGCATAGATTTACAATTCTTCAGCGTAAGTTTTTAGAACTGAATTACATTTCAGTGAAATTCATCCCCTATAGGGAGTCAACAAAAAGCAAGTTCAGCCTATTAGTGTGACCCACAGTTCCCACTGAAGTCAGGGAGAGTCTGGGAATAGAAAGAATAAAGTGTCTGTAAGCAATGGGTCTAGTGATATTTCTATAATAAGAACCAGAAGGATTAAATGTAGGTCCAAATTGAAATGAGAGCATTTGGGGTACTAGATGGCAATTGCAATAGTCAGTGTAAACCCAGCTGAGTTTCCCCAGGGAATAATTTGACCCTCTACTTTTACATTTATATATAGAGGCAGAAAAATAAAAGAATCAAATAAGTTAAAGAAAATGAAGACATTATCCAAAGGGATAATTGTTTGTGCTGTACCTCCAGCACAGGGGAACAGCACGTGGGAAGGACTGAAGAGCTGCACTCAATACTTTTGTCAATTCCCTCATCTGCTTTTAACAGTGTGAAATGCTGATTTGATTGTGCAGGTGGTGAAAATTATGGCTAGAAGGATGCAGGGACAAATCCTCACCACGGTGCATGGTAACCCCAGAGCGAGGTACACTTGTGTGGCTTGCTGTGCTTCTGCTTACACTCGAGCCCTGCAGAGATCCCCTTCTCCTCCTCCCTGCTGGAGTTGAAAGCCCAAACAGGAGCAGGGATATCAGGTGGCAGCACAGAGCCCTGTGTCTGGGGGATCCCTTGGCAGTCTCAAAATATAATAAAAGAACTAGCATTCCAGCCGAGGTGCAAGATAAATCAGCCTAAGAGAGGATTAGTTCTTGCTCCAGTTTCCCATAGCCACGCAGGGACAGCAGTAGGGGTACTCAGACGGCAGCTCTAGTGCTTGGGAAGTGCTGTCTTTAGGACACTCCCTGGGATTTACTCAACTGGAGGTGGCCAAGTCCTGGCTCTCCCTTCCCACCTTTGGGAGTGTGAGTAGGAACTTGCAGTAACAGAATGTATTAAATCCATTAAAATGGCATAATAGGCTGTTCTTGACCAAAAGGGGCACAATAAGGCCTGCTGTGTCTCTGAAGATGTTTTACAAAGGGCAGAATCATGACGAGTTGGTCAGAAGGCTGCTTATGGTGACGGAGCTCTGATCTGCAGCCAGGAGTTGCAGCACAGGATGATGCCTGTGGGTTCTTGCAAAAAGCAGACCAGACAATCACCCTTTTGACTTCAGTGTGCCCAGTCAAGAGTTTTAGTTGTAAAAATGAGAGCTTAAAGAAAAATTATATTTTAGGGTCAAGTCTAGTCTGCCTCTGAACAAAAGGACAACAAAGCATTCCCAAAAGGGAGCAGTGCTCTGCAACAATATCCCATGCTTTATCCTCTCCAGGCTTTGCTTTATTTTCCCATTTGAAAAGGATAATGGTTAGAAGCCTATCTGAAAGCTGAGGTTACAAGCAAGCAACAGCAGGATTGTATAGCCTTCCAAAATATCGGCAGCTTAATTAAAGCTTAAATTTTCTTGGCCTCATGGCACTTCAAGTCTATCCTGAAAAATGTAAGGTGAATAAACTTGGGTAGGAGATTCATGGTGATGTCAGTAATTCATGATAATGTTGGTCCTGTCTAGAACCACACCTGCAAAGGCTTGTAGGGTGAATATACTGCCGCTCTGACAGGGTTTGATGGGCAGCTGCAACGGCTGGGTTCAAACTTAATGCTGCTTGGAGCCCCCACCCAGAAAGCTGCAAAAATTTTATGCTAAACTTTCTGGTGCTCAAGGAGCTAATTTTCCCCAACTACAAGTATGAATCACATAGCTAATAATTTTTCACTGAAGGGAGAAAAGTAAGAAGGTAGATAAGGAAGGTAATAATAACTAATTCTTAAAGTGCAATTATGCCAATAATAATTTACATCTCCCCTGCTGGAAGGAAAGCAAATGTTTGCTTTCCCCCTCCTGCAGTGACCTGCCCTAAATTTAATCCTTGCTAGACAGCGAGGCCTGACTTAAGCAAAGGTATCTGTTGGTGCATACTGGGGTGCCTCTGCCTGCAAGCCAGTCCCACTGGCCGTGCCTGGCACCTTTCCTCTCCCTCCGCTGTGTGTCTGTTGCTCTCCATAGCTGTCCCTCGGGTCACTCGCTCTCTTTGCCTCTCCAGCACCAGCTTTGGCTAATTCCCACAGCTCGGACTTGGTGTCATTATTTTAGGTTCTGGAAATGACTGTTTATGCAGCACCATAAATTCAGGGGAAACGTTTTAACAGCTCTTACCTTGCAAGCAAATTTTGAACCTAGTCTCATCTTGCCCTTTTTAGGCTCTAAAGTCTGCATCCCAGCCCTCGAGTTACTACCTTCTGTTACGATGATTAGCCAGGCACAGCGTTAGCTGGCCTGCGCTTCTGTATGCTATGGAAGTTACTCACCTTTCTCTATCTAATGAATACAATTTCCTTTTTAACAGAAATGCTTCACAAAAATGGTAACACAGCACAGACAGAACAAACATGTTTCAAGCTGTCCCATGGCTCTTTTTCACTTATTCCCTCTTTGCTCCACCAGCAGTGAACTTAGTGTTCCTTCTTGTTCGAGATCCAACCTCTTCTTGAATTTTGAGGGGATCTATAAAGGTTTTGCATTCATTTCAGGCCTTATCCAGGATTATAAATGTATCTCCGAACTTTCTAGAACAGCAATAAAGCTGGTGCTCAGTTGCAAAAGTGAAGTGTTCTGAAGTAACTGTCCTATTATTAGAAATATACAAGGAAAACATCTTATTCCTCCACACTGTGAAACCATGTGGGGGAGAAAACAATCCTAGCCATGCTCTTTTTTGTTTTCACATCTCTCAGTTCTTGAAACCATTTATAAAAGAGCTAGAAATTTGTTTTTCTTAATGGCAGATTAATGCATCTTTAAATTGGACATTGGGGATGGGAAATATTCAAGGGACTTAGTATTACTAATGGTTATCTCTGACCATAATCATTTAAGATATAGTAATTTACATTAATTACTGTGAGGATTTAAAGTATCTGTTACTCAGCAGTAAAAGGCTGTGATGCGTTCTCATGTTGTAATAAATACAACGCTTACTCCATTAAGAACATGGCAGAAGCTACATCACTGTTGCAACAGGTGAGTTTGCAAACACGTACACATAAAACATAAACGTCTATAAACGGAACAAGTCTGCAAAATCCACACCTCATATTGCCCACAGAAGCAAATGCTTGGCAGTTTTATAACACACCTTGGAGCTGGTGGGTGGCTGATTCTGGGAGAGACTAAAGACTTTTCCCTTACATTGGTACAGAAACTGCTGTTAAATGTAAGCTACTTTCTGGATGTTGTTGAATTATGCAAATTAAAGAAAAAACACCATACAATGAGAGCAATCCGAACTGCTGCATTTGTGTTGTAAAGTTCATGCATTACACACAAAGATCTTAGGGTTTGTTCATCTTTTAAGGAGGCTGCCATCTTCAATTCATTTTCTGGCAGGAAAATCCTTCAGAATTAATGAAATAACTTTGCTGTGTATTTTGGCTGTATTTCAGAGCAGATAACAATAGCCTTCACAGTGTCCATGGTGGTTGGACTGGTGACTGGAGGGATCATCTGGGCATTGTTCACTTGCTTGTCCCGTCGCAGAGCTAGCGCCCACATTTCCCAAGGGAGCTCCTCAGCCTTCAGCCGTCGGTCACGACCCTCCTCCCATGGCCACACTACCGGCAGGACTGGATTTTACCGCAACAGCAGCTGCGAACGTCGGAGCAACCTCAGCTTGGCCAGCCTCACCTTCCAGCGGCAAGCCTCCTTGGAGCAAGCCAACTCCTTCCCCA